CGACGGTGGGATGGTCGGATTTTGTCAACATCAATAAAATGCGAAATAATCATACTTAACTCATTAAATATCGAAATTAGAAGAAAAGTGCACTATTTTTAATTATAGGAAATGCGTTTTTCTAAGGTACATAAACTTTTGGGATTGACTATATAGCCAATACATCCTTAAAAAGGAATCACGACGCGTGAGAAAAAAGAATTTTCATGTTAAAACAAAAGAAGGTAACGGTGTTACCAATTCCCCCTTTTAATCAGTATCGGTGTGAGTTATGAATTGTTCACGAAAATCGTGAAACACGCGATACGTCGTTTAATAAACTAAATATTTTCGTTCAACGCGAAGCAGACGATTCACGTTGACGTCAGCGGATTCGCGACGGATATTTCACAAATATTTCGCGTCCCGATCCTCGACTTTCTTTCGGATCATCGTTGTTCGTCACCAAACACGATCGAGATTCGGTAGCTCCTACGTGCTCGTAGGACGTCGTAACACGTAAAATCGAGGAGACGTTTTACGTACATTTAAATCATGCCTGATTTCATTGAAGGTCATTTCATGATTCATCGTACGATCCATTATATGTATAATTAGTAGCGTATCGTTCGTGATACCACTCGGTATCAGATTTTCTGACGAGCTCGTCGCTTTTATCCATCCCGAACGAACCCGGACACGATCATTATTGGGAAACACGAGCCAGGAACAACGGCACACGCTCGTTTCAGACCGAATGGATGTTTGCAAAATTATGCGAAGCGGTCGACTTCAATTTACTTTTAATGTATCCTCGTCGGGCACAGATCTACATCTAATTTTGTCACGGGACACCGCTCGTCCGTCGCTTCGAAAGGAATTTGCATATTTGGATTCGTAAATGCGACCGAGAGTGAATTTGAACATCGTCAAGCTGCGGATTCTGCGTGGAATCGACGTTTGCCACGTATGAAAATGTACAAAATGTTACGAGACGAGTGCGCGTCGCGTCGTGCATCACGTCATTAGATTTCACGGTTACCGGACGCTGTGTCACCGGAAGCTCGTTAATTTTACGCAAAACGCTTGGCCTCGCTCGCGTCGTCGTAATTCATTCCGGTTAAAAGTGATTCGTATCAGCCGGGAGATGGAAAATCTGCTCGGAACGAGCAATTTCCATTAATACGTGCTTTCCCCGTGTTTCTCCCGGTACGCTGCGAACGCACCGATTCTTTGTGCTCTCAATTAGCGCGGTGCGTAACGAGCCGAAATTCGTCGGTCGACCGGTTCGTTGACAAAACGCACAGAACGCTCGCCGGCGATCCTCTTCCAGGACCACTGCTCATGTTACATTTGGAGTCTTTGCCTTCTTTTTAAACCTACCACGACACCTTCCGAAGTTCCATGGAATCCATGGCCATCTCTTCCTTACTCTCGTTTCCACGCCACTTTTCCAAGGATGCCGTCGACGAACAAGTGAAAGCGTATCTCGAACGAGCGTTTCACACGGACTTTCACTCGACGAATCGCGCTCGATCGAATTTCCTCGGCGAGTCAAAGAGAATTCGAGTCTGTCGAAGACGCGACGTACTTATGGTCGAACGCGGAACGAGTGTACAGGTTTCGCGTGGACGCGCCGGAGACTCGCCGTCGACTCGCGGTCGACAAAAGCAAGAGTGCAGGTGCGTGCACCGGCCGCGGTGGATGCCGGAATATCAACGGTGAGCGAAGGACGATACCACGGCTAGTCTCCACCCTGTCTAGACAAAATCAATGCGACCTCAACCTCCTGCATCCCCTCCAGCATCCCTTAGACCGTTCAACGTCCCCACGTGCGTGCCCGCTTCTGCCTGCCTGCCTGCCTGCCTGTCTGCCAGCCTGCCAGCCTGCCTGCCTCTCTGCCTGGCTCGGCCGCGTCCCTCCCTCTCTTTTTCGAGCTTCCTCTTCACGTCGAGTTTCATTACCGGAAGCAGTCTGCCGCTGTTCCACTCCGTGGAGTGTGTGCTAAGTTCACCGACCACGGGTGCGACTTGCTACTTCTTTCGAGATTCCTTTTGTTTCTTTTCCTATTTTTTTTTGCTTTTTGAACTTCTTTGACAGCCGAGGGACGATGCTCCGTCGTTGGTCCGAAGGGTTTCTGCCAAGGAATCGGAGGCTTTTCACAGATGCCGATGGAACGGATCGAATGAAACGATAGGAAAATCTCGCCGGATTCTTCGTGCGTTCGTTCAACTTGGAAAATGAATTAACACTGGATCTACCGAGGAGGGGTTAAAATGACTCGTTTCGCATTTATAATAATCATCATTCACTTTCAGTACATTTTGTTTTCTAACATCATGTTTGACGCGTTCGATAACGTTCGAATACGAGGATAAATTCACTGTACGACTTGCGTCGTGTAACGAATTTATGAAAACATGTTTCGATAAACTCATTCAATGGACTCGCTCTGCGCTTTACGTTTCATTTTTTTCCTCGTTAACGCCCAGAGTGGACGGATAAAAAAAATAGAATTCGAACCAATTAAAACGTTGATTTCTGCGATGAAACGGAAAATTTTTATTAACGCCCGTTGGTCGCGAATTTTCATTTGTTCGTTTGCCCGAGATATGGCTGTTTGGAAAACCGATAATGTGTGTAAAAGTATCTGTGAGAGGCACGTTCGACATGGAAGTAGTAACACGTGATCCAATGGACGTGTTTCATGAACATGAAGTTATCGTGGAATTTTATGATATAAAAAAATAAAACCGTGATGCGACAATGTGAAACGATGCTCGTATAAATCATGATGCCCCGCGATTCGCACTTCTCGACTCCACTGGATTGGACTGTACGCGATTTGCAACTATCTACATTGGCTACGTGTCCTAAAATTCTTATTTTTGCATACTTTTTATTCTATATCTTAAATAACATTCTTGAAATTGAAATTACAAAATTCTGTCATTGTTGGATTCATATTCTTTTTATAAATGAAATAAAAATTCAGTCGTTCGACATGAGAATTCAATATGGAATAACTTTTTTAATAGGCTCGTAAAATTTTAAAAATTTTGTACTGCGTTTTATTAACGTTTTATCTAGTAACTGTTAAAATTTCAATGCTTCGTCATTGTTTTTATGTTCATACAACTTTAGCAATTCTCTGGAGCCTTTTGGTCGACTCGCCGCTTGGTTCGAAAATTGAACGTCCGTGAAAGTTCGTAGGAGCCAGCGTACAGTTTATTTTTAAACTGCTCTAAGTTCGGAGAGAAGCTGGAACCGCGGTAGTCAATCTGAAAAATTGATGAACCGCGAACCGACGATGGTTTTTTTCTTCCCCAAAACCCGACGCTCCTCTCTTCGTCCCTTTTAACCGCGGAGCAAACAAAAGAATTAACCCCAACCGATAGAATCCGTCCGGAGGTAATTGCTCGTTCGGGCGGCAAAACGTTCGCTAGAAACGCGAACTTCTATCGGGAGAGAACCACCGAGCGAGAGCATAGAACAGGTGACCTGTTTCGTGATAGTTTTCTGCGCACAATGTGACATACCCGAAGTGCATAGTTTCTTTTGCGTCACGACGAAACATCGAAGCTCGAATAGAGATTGATGCAGAATGGGACGTGCACCGAGTCGTTTAATTTCGATTACTAGAACGCAAACATAGAATTTAATCAGAATTCATATGAACGACAAAGGAGTATTGCTATATTCTCTCTCATTACTGTTTCGTCAAAATTACGTTCCGAACGATTTAATGAAACGCGAACTCGTCGGACGTTTCGTACTCACTAAATTTTTTTCGTCGTCGCAAATATTTAGGGATTTCGAGTCACGTTCGTCGATAGTTGCCAAACGAAAAACGATCGTCCAGGGGGCGATTTGAAGGACCTTTCATTTCCAAAACTGGGTAATTTACGAGCAGTTCATTAATTTCACGCGCGGAAATTTTCTCGGGGAAACCCGACACGTTCGAAATTAATCTCACGGAATCACGATTTTAATTACCGAAACGCTGTCGGCTCTGGACAAAACTGTTCCGTGGCGAATCACGGTTTCAACGGGAAAATCCGAGACCCAGGAGTTTCTCTCGCCGGCCGCGAAATTCTCTGTTTCGCGTCGTATAATTGCCCCGACGAGCATCTTCGAAGAC